GTGACAATATGTGTTTTGTGCAGCTGTTGCAGAGCAAAAAACGCACAAAAAGGAGACAATTATCGAAAAACTTATTACAGAAGCATTTTAACGCCTAATTTCTCTCGATGGCAATTATTCGCAGTTACCCCCTAGTACCTTCAGCCTGATTTTCAATGAATTTTCAAGAAAACTAAAACAACGCATAACAATCAAACTGTAATAAACCTACAAAACACTCTGAGCCGCAGGATTCATTTAATCCCGAACTTGTGTTTTTTCCGTTTATCCCGAATTTGCTGTTTTTTTTTTATTTTTTATTTTGGAGGGCGGAAGGGGGAGGGGGGAGACAGGAGGAGGAGCACAATAAAAATTCCAAAACGTTCCTCCTGATGTACTCAAGAAGAAAACATGCATTTCAGGCATAAAAAGATGAAGTTGGTAGCCAAAATGCAGAATGAGTGGATTTGTTAGAAGTTGAAGCATAACAAACTATAACGGATTGGTTATTTGATGAGGGGGTGTACCAACTAGTTAATGCATAAAAAAGTAACTGCTGGAATGTTGGAGGCCTGGTTACCGGTTTTCTGATCAACAAGCTTTGTCGTTCTCATTAGCTGGACAAAAAAGCTCTATCTCAAACTACCAAGGTTCTTGGGCAATCACTTCTTTGGCCCCCTCTTTGCTTAATAATATTTTGCGTCATGCAAGAAAAGCATGTGTAGGGTGTTATCAAATAAACAAATGAACAAATAAGCAAAAACAAAGACTCAACAAATCTCAAAAAAATGAGGTAACTGAAACTCCCGGCTCTCGGCCCATAATTTTTTCAAGAAATTTTGCTCTTTTGAAAATCAAAGTCAAAAAATCCTCCGTGTTCACTGTATATGACAACTCGGAGTTACTCGGAATTAGTCCGAGTAATAGCAAATGCCAATAGCAACCACTCGCTGGCAAGACTGCCGATGTCTCCTCCCTCCTTATCCACGATTACTTAAAAGCAGTATCTTGGTTGATTTAAATCTTTTGCATTTGCCAGCACTCATTTACCGTTAAATAAATAAACAAACAACCTCTAAAGTCGGAAATACTGCTTCTAGCACAAATAAAATGTTATGTATGGCTATTAGCACGATGCAGTAGCAAGTAGTGTTGCTTTTTTCAAAACATGATGAAAAATGACCTGTTGTGACAAAATACTGGCAACATTTCAGGAAAATTTGCTGTGTTGCTGGATCAATTCGACGTTCCAGTGGGTCAGAGGCATGAAACGGCGAAACATCAAACTGAAGTCCTGCGGGCAAATATTGATTCCACCTGCAAATGGCCAGTATGTCTCTTGGAAATGTATAGCACCTTGTAAAAGAAAATGAGCAAAAATCTGGGCATATAAAAGAAGAAGCACGCATTCAAATGTAACCGAAGCTTACCAGCTTTCCTCCTTTTCTTTTAGTGAGGAACAAAGCTGGGCTGCCAGAATTGAAACCTGACATTTCAGCGTAACGGTCAGTAACGAGAATGCATATGCAACAGCAACCATTCGGCCAACAGCATTCACCTGCAATTCACTTCATT